CTTGGCCCGTTTCCTACTACACCCGCGCGAATGCGCCATACGGGCGCACGAATAAAATGCTGGCGCGACACGCACACAAGTGCGAGCGCGAGACGCGGGAGGAACGGTGCGTGAAAACCGCGCGGCGTGACAAACCTCTTTTCGACGAGAGTCGTCCGCGGAGTGTTGTCTCTGTTTGATTTGGCTTTCGCGTGCCCGTCCGTTTACTCTCGATGTTAATACGCGCCGGGCGTGTTTGCGCTCCGCACGAAATACGTATCGTGTTTCGAAACAGCAAAAGAATCTTGTTAATTTGTACTCCGCGTCCTCGTTGACTGCTAAAGACAATGATTGACAAAGCGATGCGGCATTGCGACGCTATTATCGAGACCATTGTTCTTTGGGAAGTTTCTTTCCCCCTCTTTTAACATCGTTGCGTAATTATTTCACGAGCAAAACTGATTGGGTTGATAACGGAAAAGGAGGGAAGCAGCAACAGTTCTTATCCGAGCTGTCATATAACGGCACTGCGTTAGGGTGCATAATAATATCGAGCGCACCTTGCGCGCGAATACCGGAACCTGCGCGAAATTCAAGTTGCCGATGATGGGGTTGCAGAATAAGTCATTTAGCGCCGGCACAAAAGCCAAATGGGGCGAGAAATGTGAACGAGGTCATCGATATGAAGGGTTGCGCCTTCTCCGACATATATATTTAGCCGCGTCATCGTTCTATCGGAATTGCTCTCCTCTCGCTATCTATATTCAGTATCGATAAGTATGTAAATTTAAATCGTAAATGTACGATTTACGATGAAATGACATTTGCGTTTACTTATATTTACTCCGCGTTCATTAATAATGTTTTATTTGTACGCGCATCGCGGAGGGGCCGGAAATAAAAAGTATCGAATTCTCGCGGGTATCCGTCGTATCGATCGGCGGGACTTCGATTTCACCTCATCAACTCGATACAGATCCAATTCCCCGCGGCTATAACGATGTTTTTTTTCACACGTAAGTCGATTCGATGTCTGGCTTCGCGCAAATTTAGTTTCGTCCTGCAAGAAAAAGTACAATGCACATTCCCCTAAGGATTATTCCTTTCTCTCCATACAATACGGCCACCGTTAATTCGACCGCTATTAAAAAGTTTTTCGGGTTATTAATGATTTATTTCGGTATACCTCATTTTTGAGAGAGCCCGCATGGAAATTAAACGAAACGTCGGCCGCAGGATTGAACGAATTTCGAGTTCTCCACGTGTGATGAATAAAAAGCATATGGGTACCTGTATAAAGTTTCTTCGCACGTGTGACGTCGCACCACGAATATCATTTTTCTCCATTTCATTCTCATTATATAATTTGTAGTTTGCGCGGAGGATCTCGGTTCGCGTCGTCATGGGATGAAAGATGCATCTCGAGTCCCATGGAAACATGATCTTTCGATATGCTTCGAGCTGCACGGGCTCCAAGACTGAAACCGAAAGACAAAGTCGTGATTATTGTGAGACACGCTCATAAATTTATCACTATCATTATTTATTATCATTCCATTCAATAAAGAAAATTAAATTAAGATATAACAACGTAATAGCTTCATTAATGTAACATATAAAGTTTCCAACTAGACGACGACACGTTTTTGAAATACATTTTTAATTACATTGTTGTATAACATCGGATTTTTCAATTAGTGACTTTCTCTTATCGTAAACAGCTTGATTTTAATTGATAGAATAAAAAAAATTGCTGGAATTATGTGAAGAGTAAACTCGTACGGATCCAAGGCCCACGACGACCTTATTCCAAAGGTCGCAATTAACAAGAGAGAAGTCCAAGTTTTCTCAATCAGCGGTCACTGGCGTTTGTATCTAACCCCGGGCGGCGAATGTATGTATCGCGAGCTGGTCGCGCGCTTTGGGGTGGCCGGGTGCGTCGTACAGCCAGGTAAGGGGCAGCTGTCCACCAGGTGCCAGTCACCCCTCCATGCGCCTCCATCGTGGCGCCGGCGGGGATCCGGGCGGTATCATTGGATGCCGGCTCGCGCGCGTTGCGGCAATACTCTCGCGCTTCACGACGGAAAACAGTCAGTCGTCCCAGGGCGCTCGATCGGGGCACGTAGGCGAATCGCGATCCACGTGTTAGGTCGCGTTGCTCGTCGCCGTGACACGCGGTCCTCGCAACTCCTTCATTCCTGTCGGGTTTAGGGTTACGCACGAGTGATCTGGATCGTTGCTCGAACGAATGACAGTCGAGACGTCGGGACGAGAAAGGATACAAGTCGCGCTTTTCGATTTTTGATTCGTCGTTCCTCGTTTCTTTCTTTCTCTCTCTCTCTATTTCTCATCGAATCTTCCTCACGTTTAAACCTCGCTTAAGACAACCTTCTTCGACGATCAAGCAAAGTGGTGTGAAGGAACCCGGAGAGAGTAATTTTCGTTTCCGCGATCAGTGTTCGACAGTCAGTGCGAACGTCAAGTGAGCCATCGAAGTTGGGGTATTTCGATCTCTCGTTCCGTTCACGTCGCCGTCATTCTCCTCTTTCTCTCTCTTTCGTCGCGGATTTTCGCGTCTGACACCCGCGGGAGCAGCACGGCCACATTTATGGGGGTGTCCGGAGAGTGCGCGATTAAAGGCAGCAAGAGCAGCCACCCCTGTCATTGCTGCGGCGGTCACGTCGGCAGTTCCGGCGCGAGCGTGCAGCAACAGCCGCTGCAGCAGCAGCAGCAGCAGCAACAGCAACAACAACAACAACAACAACAACAACAATCTCACCAGCAGCAACAGCAGCAGTCCTGCGAGCCGTATTATCATCATCATCACCAGCACCACCATCACCACCACCATCATCATCATCACGGCAAGCACGCAGCAGCGAACGCGTCGCCGCAGCACAACAACAGCGGCGACAACAACATTCTCGCGCCTCTGCGCAGCAAGATGAAAGTGCTCAAGAAGCTGAAGCGCAAGATGGGTCTAGGTGAGCCACACCTCCGTCTCTTCCTCATTGTCTCTGACAATGCTTTCCGGTCGTCGCTCGGCTGACCGTGCTGATCGGTCGCGGACCGAGACTCGTCCGATTTTGTCGTTCAACGATAACCGAGGAGAGGAGGACATCCTGCCTCGCGCGGTGACGATTGATAGAATAGAATACGTTCGACTGGCTTCATTCGGATATTTCATGGATCTCTCCGATCTCGTTTGTCCATTTCGCAGACCTTTTAATTTTGAGAATTTAATCGAGAAAAAATTGACTCCACATTCCATCGAGCGTGGAATATTAACTAGTATACTGCGGATCAGGCCAAATATCGTCGAAACTCCTGCGAAAGGGATTTGCATTCAAATCGTCGCTGTAAAATTGAATTCATCGATCGCCCTAACGAATATTGCGGAACAGGGCCGGGCCCCGCTCGTTCGCGATCAACTCTCGTCAACGCGGAACGGATCCCTAAACTCTAAAACGGCGATACGACGAGCGGGAAACAATTTTGGCTTTTATTTCCTGCGGTCCGCCGGCGGTTTATCGCACCGCGGGTCCAATAATTACCGACAACGCATCCGCTACTCTTAACTTTCCGCTATTGGCGAAAAGTTTCAACCATCAGTTTTCCAGCATTGTTTGGAGAAAACTTGCAGCGAGTGGGCTTATAATGGAATATTTTATCACTTTTTTTCGATACACGCTGCGTTGGCGACTTTGAAATTTAATTTAAAATTAATACAAGTCCGACAAATAACAGGCAACTATTTAATTTCTCAAGAGAACGAAACATTCTCTCGACAGTAATTAAAAATTAAAAATTTTATCACAAAAACGCTAGATTCATAAGCTAATAAATTTGTAAACTTGTTATCAGTGTTAAATCTATAATCTGTGATCGATACAAGGTTGGCGCGACACAATAGAAATAGGTTGGAAAACATTGATTGTGAGAAGAAGGGGGCATCATTTCCTCCGACTATTCCGATTTCAGAGCGCCCATCGCGCTCATTTCCATTGATGTTCGGTAAAAGCTCATTTCGCGGCAAGCTTATAGTCACTGTTGTGTATCGTTGACCGACTTTTCCTTCAATGGACGATCCGCTGGATTCCGCGAGGGAGTCTGAAAACGAGAGGATATCGCGTCTCATTGGTTTGCCGCTCTTGCCTCGCTTCCTATCCCACAGCATTCTCATCAGATATATATTCCTTCTTCGCGATCCTTTCTTCCGCGAGCGCGGCATTGTCGGCAACAATTCTCGCAAAGTAACTGGAAACTCTCCCCCCCGAAACCCCTTCGCACGCGCGATACTCGTGTCCTCAATACCGACTACGTCTTTCCTCCGTATTCCACGCTGTTTTGTCACAGTGAATTTCGAGCGCGACGACAAGCGAGACAAAAGCAAAGTCGAAGAGACTTCCGATCTCCTCGCTTCTGTGATTTTAATCGAGGCTGGCTTAAATAAACCGCGACACGGAAGATGAGCAGTCTGTTTAAATAAAAATACGAAAGGACGAACCAGCGCTCTTAATTATCTAAATCAGAAATGAAAATAACATTAACATGCGTAATACCTATTGAGAGACACGCATAATATTCTTAGACGCAGCGTAGATCTGAAAAGGCGTTTTTGTTTGGATCTATGTTCTCGTTAATTCCGCCGTAATCTGATGGCCGACTTCTTCAAGAGCTATTTCCCGACGATATGAATGAAAAGATTTATAACGCCTATTTCTTTACTAGCAGACAAAGCATCAGTTGTTACCGATTAAAATCGAGGTTAAAGGTTACGATTGGACCTTTCTTGGCGCGATGAATTTTAGGTGTCAACGACTTTTCTCTAGCGGGAGGTTTCAAGAGACCAACGCAATGCGATCTCTTTGTGGGAGGGCTTTGAACCGTTGACGATTTATGAAATGGATATTTGAGCTGCTGCGATATTTATGTTAGAAGTCAAAAACTGTTTTCATTCATTTTTTACTCAATTTGAATGATTTATTATTGTATCAATAACAAATAACTTTATAAGTGTATAATTTTTTCAAGTTTAATTGGCAAAAGTTTAGCAAAATTTGCAATTCTGTGATTCCTCTTGCTAAAAAATAATATTGATTAACAACAAACAACGTAATATTACAACATTTTGCAATTATCTGTATTTATTTTTTTGCAAGTTTATAAAAAGTAAGTCTAAGTTTGTAAATTTCTCTTCAAAAAAAGTCGTGTTATTTTTTTAGCAATTGATCGATCAACATTGATCGAGCAACCTGCTTGCTCTCCACCTTTGCTCATGAATAAGGAAAGCATCTTTCATCTCTTTCTCTCTCTCTTCCCCTCTTTCGAAGTAAATTAAAGCGAACAGCTGACACATCCACCTTGAAAATTTGAAGTTATCTTGTTATTTTTTGCAAAAAGAAACTCGTGCCACCTGATAGCAATATTTAAATATATCAAATATTTCACTTATTATGTACATCTCCTTACGGCATATATGAATTTGACACCGAAAGTGATAGGAGGAAAAGAGATATTCCCAATGGGGCGGAGCGCTTTGTTTTTTTGCTGCGATTATCGCCGCGGAACAAGCGGAACGAAGAAAGTAACTCGTCGTGATGCTCCCGGGATACCACTCTGCGTGCTTCTTTCTTTGCTTCTCCTCTTCCCATCTTTTTGCGGCTTGGTGAATCACTCGCGGCACGGTTGCAGGGATTCTCAGTCTGTTCTTTATCCCCACAGCGACTTTTTTTCTCTCTAAATACCCACAACTGAAATATTTCTTTCATTTTCGCGCATTGTAATTTGCTTGTTTTACTCGCACTTTATCTCGCGTTCCTCCTTTTTGTCCGGATATGTCGCGTTGTCGTCAACCTTGATGAAATAAGGAAAGCATTTTTTATCCTCGGCAAATTCCGTCTAAATTTGTCTGAATAATTCCGGGCGTCGCGACTGAGCCGAAATCGATTTACTCGTTCGTGGAAAGGATCCTTTTCCTCGATCGATCTGAGTCATTGAAAGCGATCGGTGACGCATTAAGTTGCTGGCCGTGACGAAACGTTATTGCAATGTAAATTGCATAACGTTGCGCTCGTTGGATGCAAACAATGCAACCTGCATCGGCTGTGATTCAACATCAAGGGTCCAGTATTTCTCACAAGTTTCACTTTGTTTCATTGAGATTGTAATTTTTCATTAATACATATGTGAATAAATCTCGGAAGATTAATTCATTGAATTCTTTTCTCATACAATGTAGCTTTGCGAAAAACAACTTTCGATACGAGAATTGGTCGAAATGTCATTACATTTGCATCCTTGAGAACATAAAAAAATGTTCTTTAATTAATTTATGAATAACATAAACTATTGTATAAACAATTTATTTTAATTGGAATTATATTGTATAGAAAGCTAATGGAATTTTATGAAGGCAATTACTATCGTCTAGTCACGATCTCTAAAGATTAATTTATTGAAGTTTCCTCACATAATATTTTTTTCTTCAATAAGAGTGCTAATCGAACTATCATTTAATTTACACTCTTGTGAAACATAAATAAGTTTTTTCATAATTAATTTATGATAAGTTGTATGAATAATTTATAAATTGAAATTATACTGGAATTCGTAGAAAGCAAATGCAATTCTATTAAGGCAATTACTCTATCGTCTAGTTGCAATCTGTCTATTGGGGTTCTCCTACTTGGAAATGAAATTCTTGCGGTTTCTCCCGAGTTCACCTTACGATTCGGACAAGTCTCACGAGCCGTTCACATCTTGTAGAAGGTTTAACCTACCAAGGAGCGATCACTGACCGTCCTCACTGACTCGGCAATCTCACACACCCATCCACCCACTTTCCGCTTCGCGCGTGACGTCAGAGAGCCGCGAAACCCGTCTTTGTTCCCACAAGCGTTTCGCGAACCGGTTTGCGGTCCACGGTTCCGCGTAGTATCCCTGTCAGCTGGCTGGACCGTTTAATCGAGGATTCTCCGCCTATTTTAAGGGTTTCACCAGCCATCCTCAGGACACTGCCTTCGAACAGTCCTTTCCGAGAAGCGTTCATTCATACTTCCTGACGCCTGTGACGAACGATAACGCCGGCTAGCGTGCGATAAACGCGTAGAAATCAAACTGCGGTGGGCTTATCGCGTCTTATCTCCCGGTAGGAGATGTGCGATTGTCGCTTATTAAACACAAGTGTCGCTCAGCAGAATGACGACGGTTGAAATCAATTATAAACACAGCTGTTTTCCGAAGAACGCGAATTCGCGAGATTGTCGCTAAATAAAATTCTGTTCTAGTTTGGACATTCAGAGGATAAGAATCGTCATTCTGTTTGGAGCGCTCTTAGCTGCGGTGACACACTTGCTCATATGAACATACCTTCTCCATTCTTCCCGAGCGATTCGTGACACTTTCCGAAAAGATAATTCGACAGGCATCGCTCGCGACTTCCGGCTGGCGCACGCCGTGAACGGAAGCGAGCGAATTCGAGAGCGGAAGTCGTCAGCCGCGGCACAATACCTGAGGTCCCGTTCTCCTCGATATCGGCGGTTTTTTTCCTCCCACAACTCGCCCGAAACGATCGCCGTATACGTCGACGAAAGTATACCACAGTTCGTCTTCAGTAATAATTACGGACTCGCGCACATTAGCGCAACGAGATACTCGAGCGCGTCTTCTCCCTCGCCGCTCCTCGCGAAGGGATCGCGATCGTGCGATACGCGAAACTGGAACTCTGCGGAAACAAGGTGCGTGAACACCCCACGCAGCACGTGTGCTTCTTCGTACCTGCGCGCACCGGAAGCGACCACCGTGGACTTAATGGCGCGGGCTCATAAGCAAACTCGCGCGCGTCTACCGCCACGCGCTCGGCTGCGTAGAAATTCGTAAAGCCAGCTTGCCGTGACGCAAAGGCGAAGCGCTCCAAAGTCATTCGTCTCGCCGTCGCCACGTGATATATTAAAAGAAGAAGCTCCATAAATATTTAATATTA